AACAAAAATGAACCACAACTCCTTTATGGCATGGTACATAGAAGACCGAGATACAGACAATATTATTAAAACTTCTTAGATGATAGTCCACAGGTAAAAACAAGCAAACAAACCAACCCCAAAGAGCTAATGTGTGAGTATGTAAGTTTTTTAAAAATTACAAAGCATCACTTGCCCTGACACTTTCTGCTTCCTATTTTACTCATTTGTAATAATTTTACCTTTTCTTAAATATTGTCTATAGACTCTAAATTTTAATTTCAACTCCTAGCCTTTAGTCGAGATTTTTGATAGAAGACAGGTGCAGTGGCACAAGCCTGTAATCCCAGCACTCAGAGAGGCAGAGGCGGAGGCAGGCAGATTTCTGTGAGTTCAAGGCCAACCTGTTCTAAAAAGCGAGTCCATGACATCCAATGCCATACAGAAAAACCATGAAACCATGTCTCAAAAAAAAAAAATTGATAGGAAAGAGAATTTTATGATCATTTTACAGGATTATCCATAAATATACAAGTGATTGATTTAGGTAAGAGGTTATTTAAGAAAAGGAGAAAAACAAAAACAAAACAAAACAGAAAAGTAAGGGTTTGCCTGGGAAACACTGGTGGAATATAACAAAAAGCCATGAAATATAAACAAGGCAGGATCAGAGGTTGGAAAAAAAATTATGAAAGAGGACAATATTACAAGAATATTTATCAACAAAAGCCTTTTTATTTTTCCCCAGGAGTGCCATTCTGTTACAATGCTTTTCAGAAAGCGCACCTCAAAGCCAGCTAAAACTGAAAGACTGCAGACACTTGCTAAATGTCTAACTGCCTGGGCCACCCCAGATGTGGTAAATTAAATTCTCTCAGTTTAGGAACCCAAGCTGGCTACATAAATGCTCCCTAGGGTAATCTTCTCACCAAGCATCTTTATCCTGATGCCTTTTACAGGTAAGCATGCAAAATGTTATCTCCAAGAGCATGCAGTCCCACTTCACACTTCAGATGTGCTTCTGCTAGGTGAACAGCTGCATTCCAAACCACTATTCCTCCAAGGACTCTCAGGGTTATGTCTGAATTCTCTTCACACAGAAGGAAACAAACCAGGTTCTCTAGTCTCTTACCTTTAAATCAACATGCTCTAGGCCCACCTAATTTTTTTTTTCCGCTTTACTTATATTAAGAGATTGACCAAATGGCCTCATATCCCATTATCTTTATCTAGTTTTGAAAAATAGTCTGACAAAGCTGTCCTGGCTGACTTTGATCTGTTATCTTCATATCTTAGCCTCCTGAGGAGCTGAAATTACAGTGCTGAGGCATGAGTCAGGGCACAGAAGCATAGAAGCTTAAAATTACAATATGACATTAGCAAGTTTCGTTCTCAACTGAACAAGTTAAATATCATACTCAAGTGGCATTAAAGAAACTCATGGGCAGAGAGTGGTACAGGAAGATGACCTCAGAAAACACAACTGCAAGTTTGTGGTTTGGGCTCTAATAGAAAATATCTCTGCTTGTGGGTTTGTGGGTGAGGTTTCTAACAAGAAGTATTTGCTAACTTACCATAACAACAGCAACAAAAACCACACAAATAAGAAGTGTGAAACTCTTCAAGGATGGGAAGTAGCTGGCTGTGGTAATAAACAGCACTCAAGAAATGGGTAAAACACTGACTCAAAAAAAAAAAAAACAGACAAAGTCCCTGCCACACACAGGTAGGAGGGCCTGAGATCACGTAGGAGGGGTGCACATGGTTAAGTATCTAAAGCTCATTGGTTGGTGCTAGCTAGGTTTTTGTCAACTGGACACTGCTGAGAGTCATCTGGGAGGAGAGCGCCTTAGCTGGAGGACTGCTTAGGCAAGTCTGGGAAGCATTTTATTGATTAACAATTCAAATGGGAGGGCACAGCCCACGGGGCCACCCCTAGACAGGTGGTCTTGGGTGGCCTAAGAAGGCAGAATGAGGAGGCCAAGGGAAGATCACCAGTAAGGAGCATTTTGCCATGGTCTTTGCTTCATTTCTGCCTTGTCTGCCTTGGCATCCCCAGACAACAAACTGTGACCTATAAGTCAAATAAACCCTTTTCTCCCCAAGTTGCTTTTGGTCATGGTCCTATCACTGCAATAGAAACTCAACTAAGATATCTAGCTACCACCACTGAATCAATGAGCTCCAGGTTCAATGAGAGAATCTGTCTCAAAAACTAAAGTGAAGAGCAGTGTTAAGAAAGGGCACTGCAGTGGACTTCTGACTTCCGCCTGTACATACATGCACCTGCATGTGCATGCATGCAAGCGTACATCCCTTCCCACAAACAGGAAGAGGGGAACCACAGTTAAGAAATACCAGTTAATTACAAACATCACTGTGAAATAGTGATGGCATGGATTCAAAAGACAGAAGTGAATCCTTTATATGAATTAACTTACTTATCCTTACAACCTGTAAAAGTTATAGCTTTAACCCTCATTTACTGGATAAGAAAGCTGAAGAATTGAGTTATGAAAGTTTCCCTGAAGCTAGAAATCAGAGGTAAGGATCAAACTTAGATTTTCTAGAATCTGGACTAAATAAAGTTTTAAACATTGAAAAAGTTACCTAGAAAGAAAGGCCTATATTTGTTCTGAGATTATTTTATTCTGTTCTTTATACAATTGCTTTGGAGATGATTTGGGTCTATGTCATCACTGCTTATGTTTAACTACTAGATCTCACACTAATGCACTTGCCATGACAGCAAATCCACAAATTAGCATAAAGACAAAATTTAAGTATCATAATTAAACTAGAAAATTATTTAAAAAGTAGGTAATATTCTCTATATAAAAGTAGAAGTTTTAAGTTGTTTGTCCGATTTCAATCACTATTTTTAATAATGTTCAATAGTTCTGAGATTCTGTCCTTCCAAGAAGTTCATTTGGAAGTGACACGGATCCTGTTGCACTGACCTCACATTTCCACTGTGTACTGCAAACCCTGGAGTGGCATTTTTGTCTGAGCCCATCTCTGCTACGTATGAGCTCTGTAAGCTTCTCTCTAGCACCTCTACAACAAAAGAATTGCTATCATGATCATATGAGGCAATCCACAGACTGCACTGTGAAGACTCTGTAAAGAGTCACTGTGAAGACTTACTCAGGAAGCACGGAGTAAGTGTCATCTCTTGAAATTACTGAAAAATAGTAAAGGTATGTATATATATATATACATATTGTGTCCATTAGAAAGCCATTTCTAGAATGACAAGATCTAACCGGAACACTAAATACAATGCTATCATTCTTCTACAAGCAGTCACTAGAACGTCATTTCACATTGAAGGACATTAAATACATAAGTGAGATGCACTATGTGGCTTTATTTAATATAATCTGAAAATGATGTGAATGAATTTTCATGAAGGTAGCTGGGTCTCAGCTATTTAAGGACCACACTTCATTTCTACATCAGAAGACATTTTACATAATGCAGGTAAGTGTGTTCCAATTCACTTATCTGAAAAGCTTCCTCTAAATTTAGATATATCCATATTTACTTTAGAATTAAAATTACCTCTTGCTGTTTAAAGAGTGAGGTCTAGAAAATATGCCCTTCAGAACTGTAGTGATTTAAAAATGGCATATGATAAGGACCAATGGATCGAAATAGTAAAGTTAGGCCTGAAATAAAGCTAAAATCTCAACATGAAAAATATCTCAGCATCTCTCCCACCAGACCTTTCTCCCTTCCATGGTCACCTGCTGTTTCATGTTTAACAATATTATCAGAGGCAAAAATCACCAATATCAAAACACTAAGATTAGGAACGAAAGAAGAACAGAGTAAGCAGAATTACACCAACATTATATCTTGTTATTTGGTTTTATGTTTTTCTAATTCAAATATACCTGCAAAACAAAACTTAGAAAATGCCTGAGCTAACTTTTTTACTTAACAAGGCAGGTATTCGCTGTCTCTCAACTGCAGGGAGAAACTTCATTTCAGTGACCTATTTATGCCGCTTAGATGTATCAGATGCATTTTTTAATGACCCCAAACGAAAGGAAATATAGAAATCTATTTGAAAAGTTGACATTAAGGTTGTGACACCAACCAAAACAACAAGAGACTGAAAGTTAAACTGACAGAAAAATCCCCAAATCAGCCTAATTTTAAAAACAGTTGCTCTGTGAAATAGTGATGGCATGTCAGCTGCTTCTTTGAAACTCGCAAATTTTGTCATTTGGTGTTTGTGTCATAACCTTAATATTATTTAAACATACTTTTAAATATCTATTATTTAAAAATGTCTTAGAATTGAAGATATCCTAAAGCTTTGAAGAAGCCATCCTCAAAGAACTGCAATTCCTCATGTGCCACTTTGACTAGAAGTAGTGTATAAAACATTTGCTGTTGACAAATCTAATTCATTAAAAGGTGAGATGGATGCATTTTACAGTCACTGGATGCCATCATTATCTCCAGTGCCTTTTATAAATTATTCCTCTTTTCCCTTTTGACTGAACTTGTCACGTTCTCTCTCAGAGCCTGAGTGTTATGCCTTAGAGTGAATGCTTTTAACATGTTCAGACAAGTCACAAGCTAAACAAGCAGTGGTGTTTTATTTTGTAGAAATGAGAAAGGATAACACAAGTACAGCTTATTTCACTCAATGCATTGATTTTTAACTAAAGACAAAGTCAGTTAGTGAGGGTTTCATCTCACACAAAGGATTTAAAAATAAAAATAGTACAGAATGGGGAATTTCAAAGAAAGTAACAATAAGAAAGATTCTGGCAGCCCAGCTGCACTGTCATGCAGAAAACTTGGTTTAAAATTGAATTATGCTTCCCCTGACATCAGAGATCAGGTATATCAGAAGACTGACAGCTGGCTGGCATGCTAACTTCCTAAAGAAATATACTAATTGTATTCTTCAAGAGGCCACAAAAACAGAATTACAGAAGCCTTGAAGGAATTGAGAAGGCAGAGTACAAATTATTCAAAATATGAAGAAAAGTATTTCTTACCTAATTTTATTTCAGAAGACTCTAAGAATGAGCTGGTCTTCTAATCCTAAGCAAATGGAATATTAGCTCCTTATGAATTGTTAACAGAAATGTTTCCTTCTTTAGTATCTTCAGAAGCAGTCTTTTCCAAAATCTATAAAGTAATTGGACAAAGCTTCATTACTAAAGCAGTGGGGGGGGGGGAGAAGAAAACAATAAACTACTATTTTTATATTATTCCTATAAGTTTGAGCTCTGAATGATCTATGTTGGGACACATAACAATATCCCAATTATGGCCTAGTGAAGAAAAAGGACCGAAGAGTATAGGCATATCATAACAGTGGCACTTAGGAAAATATATGTTTAAAACTTTGTTTCTAAATACCGATCATTCCTAAAGAACTTCAGTTTAAAGAGATAAAGGTCCAATGGTATTGCTGGGGTTGTTAGGGTCAAAGCCTAGGCATCAGCACCTCAAGAAGTTGGGCTTTGCCACTCATCATCAATATCTCAAAGAAACAAAGAATAGTGAAAAGCAGAAACTAGATATACTGTGGTCAAAGCTGGATGAGAAACAAAGCAGTCTAGGGGTCCTTGGGCCCAAATCCACCTTTGGGTTCCCAGTGTTAGGTTTAGTATTAAATAGAATGTAAGGGTAATAAGCACAAGCAAGCAGTCAAAGTGTGAGCCCATCAGTGTCTCAGCTCCAGTCTCTCTTGAAAGGTGGCCTGACGAGTTGTCAGAACTACATGAACTATTTTCCTGGAGACAAGTTCCTCCTCAAGCTAGCACCTGGCCTCAGCTTTTTCTTTCTCCTACCAAGAATCCTGGGGAAATTTTAATTACTCAAGGACCATTGCTTCAATACTCTGATATTAAGGGAGACACAAGTATTTCTCTTTAGAATCTTTGGTCCTGTGGGGAAGGTTATGGCTCAACCACAGAACAGGGACAATAATATCCAGCTGCTTTTTCCTGTTTAGTTACCTATGTTCCAGGCTGTTTAGTAAAGCCACCTTTTCTTCCCTTTATGAGGCAATGTTGGGAGAGACCAAAGAATTAAAAATTAGTTTTTAAAGGTATTGGTTTAAAGCACAAACCTGAACAAAGGCCAGACAGGTGGAGACATGTCCAGACACCTGTGGGGAAGAACCAGCCATAGTGTATTCCTTCCTGCCTACTGGAGATTCAGTTGCTAGGAAACCAGTCCCTCTCCCCTAGGATAGCCAAACAAGGGAAGCCAGGCCATTAATGGTTTAGGGGACTTTCTATAGCCAATCAATTCAAAATGCAACATCCCCTTTTGTGTTTCAACCAATAGACACTTGCCAAGCAAGAATCCCCCTGCTTTGGGCACACCTGGAGGGACCGAACTCTTTAAATCAACCACCTAACCTGAGCACGAGATGGGTGGGAATGGCATGGTGGGGCCGGGGATGAAATTGTTGAGACCATAACCCAGCTAGCTGGCAGCTGCCAACCACCAAGCACATTTTTATCATGGTGGCAGCAGGAACCATGACCTCTGATCAACTTGTCAGGAGGAACAACAGGCTGCCATTTCAGGCTGGTATAATTGGGTGGAGCCCATTTGGGAGCAGGCCCCCCCCTAATGGAACAGGGTGGAGGGTCCATTGAAAGACAGGCCAGTACCCCTTTGGTTTCTCCTTCCTCTCCCTTTCTTTTTGTGTGCATTGTACTGGTACATTGTTTTCTTGTGTTGCTCTTTTATGGGTTTATGATGGTCTCAGTGGGCAGGTGACCAAACAGCTGTGCACCATGGTGACTTTGCCTGTCCCATGCTCCCTGAGCTATAAGCTGTAGTACCTCTGGTCATTGGTGGGAGCATGCCTCGGGGCAGATAGATGCAAAACCCCCAAGAGGAGGGCAGGCAGCCCAGCAGGCTGATAGGACAATGTCCTTGAAATTTCCGCTGGATGGAGTAAGAAAAGTGTTGTCTGATGGTTTAAATGTATGTATGGCCATTACATGTTTGTTTCTGAATGCTCTTAAATAGTTAATATGCTCTGTATGTCTTGGTTATGGATTAACAGTTATTGGATATGTTTAAAGGTTAAATTCAAACTGCTGTCTAGAACGTGTATGTGTTTGTGAGATCTACAGAAGCACAGATGTTTTTAAATAGCAACCATGTGGCTTGCCATGCAATGTGGTGTGACTCCACCATCTTGAGATTGCCACGTGGTATGCGGTAGGGCAAAGAAAGATTACAGAACCTTTTAGTTGAAATGACTTCTGTTTATCATCCTATTTTCTTTTAGATTAAGAAGACAAGTTTCTCTTTTTAAATTGGTATTGATTTTAGGGATTGGATTGTTTGCACTGGTAAAATTTGGTTTTAAAATTTGGTTTTGACTTTTAAAATTATGGTTATGCTTTGTGATTTCACTCCTAAAAAGGGTACTTTACTTTGATATTGCAAAAACAGATTTCTTCTAAAAATGTGTTTAAGGCTATGAAACATTTTAAAGTTTATCAGGCATTTTAAAATAATGACCTTGGAAAGTCTAACAAAGAACTTGGAACAGTTTCTCAACCCTTTGGGGGAAGATAAAAGACTTTGGTATTTATTAATTTTACCAAGTGAAACCAAGCCATACTTTTTGAGCCAAATAAGAAAATTACAGTTTTAACAGTATATTATGTCAGGATGGTAAAGACCCATGGAATGACTTGTAAAGAAATGATGAGAAAGATTTTGATGGAAGTTTTTATGTTGTCTGAAGAGCATGAAACTGAGACAGTAAAGAAAAAAAAATATATCTTGTCTAAAGTAAAAATGTTTGTTTAAACCAGAAGAACGAAGCTAGGAACCTGAAGGTATTTAGAATGTTATAAATGGTCAGAGGATGTATAGAAAGCCTGAGGGCATATGAACTGTATTTGCTTTGGTATTTTATACCTGCAAATATGATTTGAGAAACAACTGTAAAATATGTTGTTTTTCATTTTAAAGGCTGGTGATTCTTCAATGCAAAATGTTTTCTTATGCTTTTTAATGGGGAAAAGGACTGCAGCTCCATGTTAGCCCAGGGTTATACAGGGTTGTATTCAAGTCATTGTTAATCATTATATGAAATATATGCCTGACCACCATTTCCTGAGTGAACGGATTAATGCTGTTTCTTTCTGGCTGATAGGTTTGGAATGGCCAGAACAGTTCAAGTACAGTTTAAAATTGTTCTATACTGTTCTGTTATATAGTTGGTTCTAAAACTTATTTGATTACTTAGTTACGGAAAACTGTAATTGGTCCACAGTGCTATACCATGGGAGGTAGCAACACCATCAGTGACACCTAATGGCTATGTTTTAAATTGTTAGCCACCATGTTGGTTCAAGGATAAAGAAGGTGGACCTGTGGTTTTACCAACATCTTTGTTGAGGGCTGCCAGCTGTGATCAGTACCTTGTTTAGTGCTAAGTGCAACCTCTGTCCCTTAAAGGTTTTTTTTTTTTCTGTTCCGTTTTAATGCAATGTGGTAGGATCAGCAAAATATGCTAGCCCTTTTATGAGCTGTATCTGATTGAAAGTTTTGCTTTGATTTCAGTTCAGAAAGATATCTAAAGTTATGCTAACAACTTCAATTGAGTACAAGATTAAGTGTTAGCTAGTCTTTTGTTTGTTTTCAAGGTTAAGCCTAGGATGGGTAACTACAAAGTTTGCCTATGTAAATCTACTTGAAATAGATATGGTCCTAAAACATTCATCTGAGGAATATGTCAGAATTAGAGATTATAGCATTCTGTTTTACAGGAAGTGATTTAGAGTAGATGATTAAAGACAGAGAAAGAGTAACTCACATGTGCTGGCCCTCAAGCTTGTCAGGGCTCTGATGAATATGATATTTAATGTGTGTAAGCTTATTATGACAGAGAGTCACAAATTCCTGGCATGAGCTCTCCAAGGTCTCCAAGAAGATTTGGGAACAATGACAGATGACTTCGACTCTGGATTGTTGTATGTTAACCCCTGGGTGAAACAACCCCAACTGGTCCATTGCTGGGCCCAGCCTAAACAGTGGACAATGCAGTGGATACCTGGAGAGCCATTGTTTCACATTCCTGAAGGCTAGGTAAGGTCAATTTCTCATGTTCTTTTTTTCTACAGAAACAGACTTTCGTCTTCAGTTCCTGATAGCCAGGCTGTCATTGTCATGATGCCATGGGAACACAGGAGCCAGGAACAACTGCCTTGGTGATAGACTGACTAGTCATCTCTGTCATTTTGATTGTTACATAGATTGATAGATTAATTTGGCTTATATTTATCCTTCTCAGATCTCTGATCACATTGATGGCTAAACTAAGCTAATGGTAGCTTTGCAGCTTAAGAACAGACAATTAGATCCACTGTTAGTTCCTTGGTCAATTCATTAGCTAGTTAAAACTACTAGGTACTGATCTCTTATTTAAAAAGGCAAACAGATTTGCCTTGCTCACAGACTTCATGTTAGTTGCCTATGTCTTATGGTGATTAACTGGATAGCAAGATATGAAGTTTATGTAAGGTCTGAGGATATAAAAAAATAAGTTATGAGTATCTAAAAAGTTGAGGGTCTAAAAGTGTTTCAAAGTTGGTAAAGGAAAGGTAGATTGGAAGGTCTAAGCAGGTGTTCTAAGGTATGTGAATGTGAGTTGTAATGATGTAAAAAAAATTTAAGGCATATAGAAAATGGGAGGTATTTCAAATTTCCCCCTCCTCTCTGCTATTGTTGTGTTTATGTTGTTATAAGATTTCAAAAGATCAGAGTTTTGACATTGATCAGTAGAGTTCTGATAAGCTGATGGAGCACTGACTGTTTATCATTCAGTCACAAGCTTGATATTTGAATTTCCTTTTGGTTGTCTTCTGGAGAGACTTAAAAGTGCTTCTCATCATGCTAAAAACATTTGTCTAGTATGCATATCTGACCCAAAAGCCATAGCTTTTACTAGGTCTTAATGGCATGAGTCAACTTCTGCTGTCTTGTGGACACCTGTTAACTGTTTTTTCTAAAGTATGGATCTCAGTACAATAGTGATGCCAATATGAGTTTCAGGAAATCAAAAAGTCAGAAGACCTGGTTCTACCATGGCTTAAATGGACCCCAGATGAGTTATTTCCATGGCCTTGAGATTCCTCACTTTC